TCTGCTACAGTGATATTTAATGAAAATCAACAATTCCTAGTAAGCCGTAKTAGCACAATACCTTATGTTTGGCATAACAATCAATGGTTTTCCAGTCGTAGGCTGGACTGACTCAGACAGTAGTGGATGACTTTTAGCAAATGTGATGGTGTCGAATCCATATGCTTTAGTGTCCAAACTTGCATTACACTAAAAAAAAAACAAATTTATTAAACAACAAATACTCTAAAGCTTATAAACAGTGATACTGACAAATTGTTAAATATCATTCAGACAGTATTCACTATCGTTTGTCTTACTTGAGGTCGTCCAGGGATTTTTCCCTTTGGTGGAGGGACTCTTTTCCAGACTCTAGATTTAACCGAAGCAGGGTCATCCATTTGTACCTCCTCTAGATAATCACTTGAGCTGAACACTGATTGGATGGCTTGGATTGAAAAGACACATACAGCAGAACCAGCAAGTCCACTCCTTTAAGATATAATTATTAGCATGTTATCTTTAAAATCCACTCATTCTTGATTCGTGTGTTAAAATATCAATTGATACTAACTCTGGAGTTGTAAATATCCCGTAAATTGAAGATTCCATGTACTTGAAAGTGGATTCTGATGAAATAAAGAGAATTTAAAGTTAGTTAAAAGTTTTTTTAATAACCAGTTGGTAAAAGATCACATACTTCAGCTTCTTGTGTTAATATGATTATTGATATCTGATCTACTTCAAAATGCAATTGATGTTTAAATTAATCCACATGATACCACAGCAATCCCAAACAATGCTCTTTTGGAGCCAAATATTTATGACAATGACAAAGACAATGGTAATTTTAGACGTTGTGTTCCACAGGAGGCCCATTTAAAAAATAAATAAAAAAATCTTCCTTAAACATGAATCATTTCTCCCTGCAGTACTTGACAATATCCAAAACAATTACTACATATGTTTTATACAGACATCCACTTCATAATTCTATAGGCTAAATAAGTAAATCTCCTTGACCTTTCCACTAGGTGAGTGAAAACCAACTTACGTAAGTGATTGTAGGCAAATTGTTCTTTCCCTGGCACAGCACAGAATAACCTTGACTTGGTAAATGATGTAAAGTCCTTCTTGTTTAATCCCTTTCCTCCTTTATCATACTGAAATAGAAAATACAGAAAGATAAAGAAACATGAAATATATAATGCTATTTGTCACTGGACAAACTATAAATAAATGTCTATGAATAAAAATATTAGCATACTTAGTAGTAATTTCATTAACTTACAGAACAAACTCTTCCAACTCTTGAATACACTTCCTACAATTAAATAAATCTTCAATTAGGTACACAATAAGTCTGRGTGATGATTACAGCAACGTGTTTCACTCACCATATTTTGAGATTCTATGGCTTTCTCTCTCAAGAAGAAATATACAAAATTATCAGGTCCCACATATGAGGAAACGAAATTAGCATCTGAAAACAGCATTAATGTAAAATTAGTATTGCTTTTTGAACTGGACCTCAGTATAACAAATTTCTTTGTGATGCAAGATATCAATAAAATACAGAATAAGGAAAAGGTAAAATAATATTACATGTATTTTACCTTTTAGTAAAAGTTCAGAGCTGAATGTTTTAAGAAAGCTCTTGTCTATTGAGTTATTAACAGCTTCTCTGAATATAGCACTTGACCTCGTTCCAGGRTCAATATTAAGACCAGTAAACAGATACCCATTCTTGACAGGATGGTTTGTGATTACACCAGATACATTTTGATCAGGAAACTTAGGGCTTATTGTATTGCTGTCTTGTAATACTGACAGCTTTGCCAGTTTGCCAGTCCTCTAAATAAGGGAAGAAATGCATCCAACCGATAAGAATTTATACAGAAACTTGATTGGGTGAATATTCCATTGTATGGTTATTGTTACAAATTGATGTTTTTAGAGCCATGCATAAAGGAATGATAAAGAGTAAGTTTTTGTTCATATTACAATGTAGCTCAGAATGGATGCTGGTTGGCCTTGACCCTTTTATCGATCCCTCAATACTCCATTTTCAAATTCAAAGCAAAAAACCACTGCTCTATTTGACAACAGATTCTCTTGCACAAAGACCTTACCAAACACAAAAGAGAGCATGAGAAAATGTCTTTATTACAACAGCCTTGCATTTTCCCTGAGTTGAGACTTGTARGTATGAACCTTCTGGGTATACAGGGTTAGCCTCAATTCGGGGACAGTGTAAATTATTAGCGCTAAATTGTACTAACAACATTTTCTCGTGCTATCTTTTGTTTGTAAGGTCTTTGCATAAGAGAATCTGCTGTCAAATAAAACAGTGGTTATTCGCTTTGAATTCGAAAATGGGGTATTATCTAAGTTCTATTATAACAATACATTTTTATTAATATTACAAATACCAATCACTGTGGTATTACAGTTGGTATGCTATGCTTACTTGTATTCTCCAGCATCTAGGCTTAGTGGCGTAAGTTCCACATGTAAACACTTTGTTATCATTATCAAAMATCAAAAGCCTTAAATAATTTGCACAGTGGCTCTTTTTATTCCCAGAGCTTATGCAATTCTTGACTTGGTTATCTGATGGTGGAAGATCTAAATACTGAACAAAGATAGAAATGGGTTAGCTGTGGTAAAAGTAAAATAATGTGTGGGCTTCCTGTGGAAATCTACCACAGGTAACCCAGATAGAAGAATTTACCTCAAAACTTGATTTGTCAGATGATAAGGATGGATTTAACCTCAATAGCAAATTCCTAATAAAACAAAGTAATTAACAATCATACAAACTCACTTAAAAATCAAAAAAATAAGGAAAAAACAACATACTTTGAAGCAACATATATTTTTKCATTTTTTTCGTCCACAAGAATATTTCTAACGTCTGAGAGTGAAAGTCCAACTGACTTTGTTGGGAATGAGTGACAGCCTGAAAATAAATGAAAGTATGAATCAATTCCCATTCATTTTTTTTCCATTCATGTACTTTTTCATTTAGTACACTCATCTATTCGTTTACATAATTGTCTCTTTACCTAATTGATAAAGCCATTAACAATTTATAATAAAGTTGCAGCAAAAAAAACAACAATAGTTTACATACCGACAAAAAAAAAAAACACAATAGTTTACATACTGCAAGTTTTGCAAGATCACAAATARTAATACTTCCTTGAAAATGATTGACACTTTTCACTTTGTTTTCACTATTATATCAGTTTCAGATCAGCAATTTCATTTCTATGCCTAACAGAAAATGAAACTGCACTATTTTKCAATTTCAGAGAACAGTTTTTAAAATCAAGCACAATGTTTTTAATGTTTATTCCTGTTCTTATGGATAATTTTAATGTTTTAATTTTTCCTATTTTCATTATTCACTGGTTAAACTTAGAATATCAATTAATTTTTTTCGACTGCTTTACAAAATCATCTGCAATAGATTATATGCACATCAGCGTTATTGATTCATGATCTAAAACACTTCATTACACATCTTTCACTCTCCTGCACCATTATTCAAATTTATTTGTGTAACACTGACTCAATGTTTTGTTTGTTTACTGAGCAAATTGGTCTTGATAAAATATCTAAGCGGTACTTACTGGAACAGTTGTAATATGTATATGCATGTATGGATACGACCAGACTTGATATCAGTAGTTCACGAATCATGGCAAATCTTCTCAAATATCAAAACCTGCAAAGGCAATACACAGTTAGGCACAAATGCATTTCAATTTTGATATTAATGTCATCAGTTTTATTATTTGCATTTTTATTTTTAAATGATGGGTTCCTTCGAARGATGGTAAAGGGGGAATTCAAGCGTCGAAAGGATGAGCAACATGACGGTAGTGTGAGCGGTCAGGAGTGGAAGTTTAAATACTCAAATGCAGACCTTCTCCTCATAACCGGGACACAACCCATCAAGACTTTCTGTTTGATTCAGCAGCTGAAATACCTCGCACATATTTGCAGAATGAGCAATACAGACTTACGGAAGCAAGTGCTTTTCGAAGAACGGTCTGGGAAGTGGGTGAAACTTGAGAGGCTGTTGGGCATCGATGCCCAACAACTGAGACGAATGATGATGGACAGAGGGAACTTTACGCGATTCATCAAAGAGATGATCGCACCCTAAGGAGAAAAGTCTCCAGAGAGGGGAAATAGATGATGATGATGATGGAAAATTTGATGACATGCTGAGACTAGCAATTAATTTACTGAAAGTAATTACAAACAGGATTATTGAAAAATGTAAAAATTAATTAACCGTTAAATCATAAATAATATTTCATCAATCTCCTCATAGAATATAATGTCATTTCTTCTTAAAATATCACTTACATTCGTAAACACGGTTTTCTTCACTCAATGACCATTAGAAATATGGTAATTTGATAAAATGTGAGCTTTTAATAAGAAAAGAGGAAGTTATGAAACATAGCTTTTGCTTTCATGTGATATAATTACATCACAATGCATGCTTGTGACAAACATTTTGCAAGTGAAACTTTCAGTTTTGACAGCATTTCTGTTGGTTAGCTCAAGCATGTAAACATTACCTGATCAAAAAAAATTCACTTTAGAATAATTATACAACAGAATATACTAGGAAAACAGAAATAGGATTGCTAACTAAACTACTAAAAAGAGGACTACATGAGAAAGCACAGTGCAAGCACTAAGAATAACATTAAAAAGAGAGAAAGGAGTRTCTGGAGTAAATCCATAAGACTGTTTCTCTAAGAACAAGAGAACCGCAAAAGTATCAATAAAAGTCCGTTATCTCTAAATACACAGGCTGGAGCTTTTAATATTATAAAAAGGTCAAAGGCTAAATTAAGATCAGATAACATTATCAACAGAATAAAACAAAGCAAAAAAAAGTGTAACAAAAGTCATTGATGTTTGTTCAATGTATTTAAGTTTTGCATCCAAATAATTATCRCAATTAAATAAGATTTATATTAAATCAATCTTATAACAAATGGAAGAAAATACAAAATATCATTCGGAGAAGTACTATCAGAGTAAGTAAAATTGTCTTCTTTCACAAAGTGATGTCGCTCACGCAAGGTTATCTCTAGTTTCTTGTTAAAAACAAAACAAAWACAAAAGAATCAATGTTACAAACAAACTGTGTACCAGTGCTGGAAAGCGAATACAATAAATCATATAAAAWGGAAATCTTAAGTAGCTKCACACATCTCAGCAGTCACAGTTGTAGCTTAGGTCTGTTGTGTCTATTTGYCTATCTTGACCTTTTTGCAATAGATTTTGTTTCACAGGTTTGATATCTTTATATTCTAATTTTATACCACAGGAATGCCTAGGGGAATGAGCAAAATGTTGCTTGATAAAATACTATAGATTCTACCAATGAGACTTTATCTGCTATCAATAATGTATCAGTTAAGCCAATTAATTCTGTCATAAATCATCATGTGTCAAAAAAGCTATTATAGCAACAAATGACAGTTAAAGAAGGCAAGATGTTGTAAAAGCTAGACATTATGTCTATACATCAATGTACCTTCTGGAAAATTTGGTATATTATATGTATAATACAATATTCATTTGTACAAATCTTGGTGTAAACTTATAATAGATTGAAGGACAATAAAAACTAAATATACTTACTAGTAAGAAAAACTTACAAAAAATATACAAAATATAGTGCCACAATTTCATAAATACAATAAAATTTATGTGTGTTCATAGAGAAAGGGTTAGAGTGTACATCTGTCTCTTAT